GTCTTGTACTACAAATTCTCTGTTTTTGCCTACTAGCTAGCTACATGTTTTTGCTTACATATGTCCGCTTAATTAAGACATGCAAACGTGTGTGCATGCAGATTTTACTGGGTCTTGTATATCATTAAAGTTGACGCCGGAACAGTTGAAATACTGGACTCACTACTCAAAGAAAAAACTGACTATAACATCTTGTTTGGGATAGTCAACAGGTAATTTCAATCATTATTAACTATATATCTCGGCCTATTTAGTTTGTCATTTCATGATATGAACTATTTAATAACCCCTTTATTCATTTTCTTTGTCGGCGGGCAGGGCTTGGGCAAGATTCATCAGCGTCACGGAAGGCGAATGGAAAGAAAAGCTTAAATGGGGAAGACCCAAGGTAAGTAATTAAGTAGTACTAGCTAGCTAGCTACCTGCCATCTCTTTAATTATCATGCTTGATTAATTATTATCTGATCAAATTCCATTCTCGTAAAGGCCCTGAAGCAGGCGCAGGGGACTGATCTGTGTGCATTCTGCGTTTGCGAGAACATTCGCATGATGGCGTCCGATAGGAGCAGATCTCAAAGACATGAATGGGTACGCTTGTCAAAACACTATTCACAATTTTTACACCATTATCGATATCTAGTCACACAACTAATACGCATGCATATTGATCTCCTTCTTAACAGTTCAGAGAGGTGCGGGCGAAGCTCCTAGAAACGGAGCGCGTAGAAGCACTTCAAGAGGAAATAGCGGGATTTTTGCTCGACCAGGTCATAAATCCGAAGGGAGAATACTATTACCCGCTACCGCCCCCATGAAAACCCCACTTCCAATTGTCATCGTGCTCCGAAGGCACCAATTAGGCTAATGCCACTGGCTCCGAAGGCAACATGCATATGTAGGAGAAATTGTATATAGCTATACATGTGTGTATGTGTGAATTAATTAATATGATGGTTTGTGAGACATTGATGATATATATATATGCATGATTGGTTCTACTAGAAATTCTATTTATATATATATGCATAACGTGTACATGTAGTATCGTAAAATACCAGCAAACGAAAAAGAATTAAAATGGAAACACAAAATTAAATGGAAAAGAAATCATAAAACTAAAACCCCCCAAACCTTATAGTACCGGTTGGTCTTACCAACCGGTACTAAAGGGCTCCAGGCCCCTAGAGCTGGCTCGTGCCACGTGGTTTCCCTTTAGCACCGGTTCGTGCTGAACCGGTACTAAAGGGGGGGAGGCTTTAGTGCCCACACTTTAGTGCCGGTTATGGGACCGGCACTAAAGGGTCTTACGAACCGGTGCTATTGCCCGGTTCTCCACTAGTGTAAGGGGCACCACTTTCGCTCCAAAAACACCAACCAACATCTAACTTTTAACATTTAGTTTTTTTTGATGACCAGAATATTTTCATGTATATACCAAACTTATACGAAGTACAATCAGTGTGATAGTCTGATAAAGTGTCTGCTTCTACAAATATCCAAGGTGTCAAGAAAAAAAGAATTAACCACTACAAGTACTTGGAATTAATTGTGCCAATATGCCAAAAACACACATTTTAGGTCACGTTATGGCCATAGAAAAATTACAGATATACCAAAATAAAGACAAGAGAACGAACAAAAATTGGATAATCTAGATTATGTAAAATTTAGCAGTGTCATTAAGTCAAAAGCACCCATTAATCCCAAAAGAAGTTTGAACATCCATCCGGCATATGTAAACCCTAAACCATGCAATACCCATATTCAGGACAGCGGGGGAGGCTTATCAAAAATCTCGAGGATAACCGATGGGCAGCTTGCTACAAGATGCCTGAATCCATCTGTTTCTTTGACAGCTTGGCGCACATCCCTTGAAGACAAAAATTCAAGACATGCCCTTTTTAGGTGCACGCAGTGGTGTTGCTCCGCTAGAGCAAGGGTTGTTGCAACGGTTTTCACGTTGATGCTTCGACACAATTTCTCTTCGCACATCGCCATTAACCTATCGACTCCGTATCGATCCGCGGCAACCAGCAGATGCTGCATCTCCGTGTGTCTATCCTCCGCATGCCGGTCATCCGGCAGAGAATCTGTGTAGATGAAGTGAAGAAGTGCCTTGAAGATGGAGGGTTCCATGCCATTGATCTTGATGCTCTGCGCCAGAGTCTCATTCATCATACCAAAGAGCTCGGCCTTAAAGACCGGGGACCTTGCGGCGAGCACACATCTATGCGCAAGGAACGACTGGCCTGCGACGGTGAAGGTCACGTCCGCGCCTTCCCCACCCTTCAACATATCTCAGAAGTGTTTGTGCAGGTTGGACTGCAGGAGCGGGGCGATGGCCATGTGCACATCTTCTGCCTGACCCTTTTTGATGACAGTCAAGACACATCTGACTGTGAAGGAGTCCCCGGTGAGGGCAAGCAGCTGTCGCAGCTTTGATTTCTGGACAAACTTTTCAAAGCCCCAATAGCCGGTGGTACTATGGAAAGTATGTTGTAGGCTACCTTGGGATCCCTGGGTAGTAAGGTTGGATACTCTACCATGTTGGTCCAGCAATGTCAAGGTGTACTTGGTCGTCACCCCTGACGTCCCGGTTTCTCCTTCACAGAGAGACAGGAAGACCGACACGTAGACAGATTTGTGCTCCTCCTTCCATCCATCGGGGTATAAGTGGAGATCCCACTCGCAGCCACCGACGGTGAACTTTCCCGACCTGAGGAACTTGCCGGCACCTACGCCCTCCAGCGACGAGAAACCGGTCACCTCGAAGTTGTGCGTCGCCGTGACGCTCTCCGTCGAGCATCTCGACCATGTCTCGCCCGGGGGAGGGGGGCTACCCTCCTTCTTGGGTGGGTACTGCTGCCTGACCGAAGAGCAACAAAATCGGTTTCCCATGATCGGACGACGCAACGAAGATGCCTAAACAGCAACGGGGGCGCACCTTGGTGTTTCACAAATCGACCTGGAAGGGAGACGTTTATATCTGTGACCGTAACGTGAGTCCCTATTAGAGACGGAGTATATGCCGACTTCCCCACCCATGAAAAAAGAAAAAGCATGCTGACTTGTAGGGAGACATGAACTATTAGAAGAGGCTTTCCGTAACAGTTTTGGACTCTTATTGGATCCCTCCTAAATACAACTTTATTTTTCTACAAACTGATCCTGGCTCATGGTTAGGATCCGAGCCACCATGTTATTGCTGGGTTCAGCCTAAAGATTTTTTTTTAAAAACAATACACTCAAAGTCGCTCACATATACGAGCATACACTCATTCCTATAAACGAACACACGCATACCCTACTCCAATGAGTACCTTCCAGAGAATGAGCCGATGTCATAGCATCTTAAAATTTTATGAAGTCATTACATGCGCTTCGCAGTTGACGGAAACGTCTTCTCGCACCGAACGAACATCGCCGAAAGTCTGAAATAAATTTCGAAATAATGCGAGCACCAATATACTCCTAACCATTCAACCACAAGTTGGTTCACTTCAGCCCAACGAATGTTGGTTCAATTCAGCCCAACGATTTTTGTTAGCTAGGTACTAATGTATCTAGGGCATCTACGGCCGGATATATCAAATCTGGACAGTAACCGGTCACCTCTTTTTTTTTTTCCGCTGATACAAGTACCTCATATTAGACCTCATATCCATACAATAGCTTGCATCACAAGATTTACCCACTACATAGATAACCTAAAACTAGCATATACTACTCTCATTGTCGGAGATTTCGACTACCAACGAGTCGGCAATGCCGGACGGACCTGCCTCTTGCT